AACACTGTACTCGGAACACTGCACTCGGAACACTGTACTCGGAACACTGCACTCGGGACATTTCACTCGGAACATTGTACTCGGAACACTGCACTCGGAACATTGTACTCTGGAGGAAGGTGTACTCACGGAAAAGCTGCCATTATAATTTTCTGATATGTCAAGTTCATTTTGGTTTCATACAGGAAGAACCTGACGGTCAATGTTGTCTTTTGTTCATCATTGTTACTTCAAGTGAAAATAATTAAGTACACCGATCCTGTATTCACCAAGATGCTGTCATGAGATGTACAAGAGAACATTTACCCCAAGTCAGTATGTGGAAAGTCTTATTTTTGTGAATGATTCACTGCCATGGTATTTGGAGGAGATAACAGACATTGCAATCTGCACATGATTCAAATCTCCCCTGAGCCTGCTAAACATGCTTGTGTCAATATTCCTGCTTGTAAGATAAACCACGGAGAATCAATAACTGGCCAAACAGCCACAGCTAACTTCCGATAAGACTTTCGTTGTGGTGTTAGTTTCATTTCGTAATTAATACCCCCATTTCCTCATGTTCCATTTGTCATCCTAGTTTCCTTGAGACTAATGAAGTAACTGGTAATACTATTTCATGGGACTTATCTGGGATCGAACTGAGAACCCAACCTGCTTTGTCATAGGAAACTCATTTATAAGACTGTAGACTGAAATAAGTGGCCGAGTGACTTTGATAGTACAATAGGCTCCAGGGAAACGGGAGAACAAGGACAACTAATCCTAACCTGTCTCATTATTACAAATCTTCTTTTCTCATTGTTGACGCTCTATATTCATGTGACTGTCTGCCCAATTAATTATGGTAAAGGGATGACATGGTACTGATTGTCTGGGGGCAGTGCCCCAGTGTGTCGGTATTCGTGTCAGCATAACCCTGTACACAATGGAAGCACAGCTACAGCCACTTCAATATCCTTTGTTAAAAATCAATGCCACCTTGAAGCCAAGCTGACAATATTTGTTATCATGTTATTCTGGAGCCATGCATAGTTTTATTACCATCAGTATCAACAGTAATATTGCCTGACTATTTTCTAAACATTAATCTGTCTCTACCTTGACAAATCTTCTGATTTGACTAACTGATGCACTCCGTTGTTTCAAGTTGTAATAGATAGTCATTAGGGAAGGTTGTTCAAATATAGACAGGAAATTTGAGGATCATGTCGATATTATGGGCTGACTTATATTTTTTCAGACACGATTTAAGAGCTTTGGTAGTCAGTTTAAGTGAAGAAGGAAGCTTGTGATAGACAGTTACTCTTACCAAATAGTTTGTCCACTGATTTTCTGACAAACATTTCTTAAGCAATATCTTTGTCATGGACGTTTTGGCTTGTAGTCAGCATGTTATTTTCTTACGTTTAGGAGTTCAAATATATTTTCCAACATTAACAGGCGCTCAATTATTTTTATTTTTTTATGTTATTGTTATTATAAATAACTATGAATAATGAACTGTATTCATGGACACAGGGTGTATGATTATGTTTTGGGTAAAAATCCAACACACACACTTATTTTGAAGCTTAGCCACATGGGCAGAGAAGGATTGTGTGGTACTTTCATCCTTGTTTTATGAACACCAAGTGCCTACTTCAGCCTTAAGCGCCAAAGACCCATGAAGATCCGGGATCGAATAGGTCTTCAGCAACCTATGCTTGCCATAAAAGGCGACTAACGGCATCGGGTGGTCAGGCTAGCTGACTTGGTTGATGCATGTCATTGATTCCAATTGCGTGGATCGATGTTCATGATGTCAATCACTGGATTTTCTGGTCCAGATTCAATCATTTACAGGCCGCCGTCATATAGCTGGAATATTGCTGAATGCGGCGTAAAACAACAAACCAACCAACCAACCAACCTTATGCGCCAAAGAAATGCTAGCCATGGAAACATATAGAGAAGTATGTACGTTATGTAGAGATGTTTCCAATGTGTACCAATTAATGACAAAACTAACAATCAGTCAAGTGTTACCACAGAGTGTTTTTATGCTTATTATGTTAGGCTGCATGTGATTTCCAAACTTTACATGCTGATCTTACTTGAGACAAATGGCGCATCTTGCATCATGGATCTATGACGTCACATGTGACACATTCATGAGCATAGGTTCACACAACGTACCAATATGTTCTTTTGTGCATCGAACCAATCTCATATCTGTTGAATATGAGTAATTCTTCATGTATTACCGAACATGTATGGTATTCACGTTTTAGTCAGGAGTATATATCACCACAATAACGGAACGACCTGATTCCTTGTTACATGATCTGCTATAACCCTATCCTCCATATAACTGGTCTGAAGAATGAAGCAGTGGCAAGTCCTTTGATCATACTACCATGATTTCCTTGTCAGAAAATAATTAGAGAATGGTATGAGTAGGACTGTCTTCATAATAACTTTACATGACATGATGTCCTTAGCAGAGAATTATTTGTGATTTACGGCCGATGTCTGTCATCAGTGATGCCGTTTCGGTGGACGTTTTGATACCATAATCTGAACCAGATTAATTCCTCTTTTTTAAACATCTCAGTAGCTAATTTGTAATTTCCTTGACATAACATGTTATTGATTTTGTTGACAAAAGTATTTCATAAATTTATTTGAAGTAATGAGATGGCCATGTCATTTGACATCTTGCGGGTAATTTTCCTTCCTGATTCAATGATTCATGCAACTATGTATGAAATATTGATGCTTAGTAAGTTTTTGCTATAAATTTCAGATAGGAATCTAAACTATGCAAGAAATATTTTTCTTATGCTTAAATAGTTCTGTTTCTGTAAATCAATATGGTTCTAATGACATCTGTTTTGCAGATGAACCAAATACATGATGATCTAATGCAGAGTTAGACAATTCACAGATCCACAGGAACCAAATACATGATGATCTAATGCAGAGTTAGACAATTCACAGATCCACAGGAACCAAATACATGATGATCTAATGCAGAGTTAGACAATTCACAGATCCACAGGAACCAAATACATGATGATCTAATGCAGAGTTAGACAATTCACAGATCCACAGGAACCAAATACATGATGATCTAATGCAGAGTTAGACAATTCACAGATCCACAGGAACCAAATACATGATGATCTAATGCAGAGTTAGACAATTCACAGATCCACAGGAACCAAATACATGATGATCTAATGCAGAGTTAGACAATTCACAGATCCACAGGAACCAAATACATGATGATCTAATGCAGAGTTAGACAATTCACAGATCCACAGGAACCAAATACATGATGATCTAATGCAAATTAGGCAATACACAGATCCACAGACCGCCTCCGTGGTCTAGTGGTAGAGCGTCCGACCGGAGAGTGGAAGGCCCGGGGTACGATCCCTGGCCACGTCATACCAAAAGACATTAAAAGATGGTACTTGTTGTTACCTTGTCTGGCGCTCGGCATTAAGGGGCCACAACAAGGACTTGTCGGCTCAGAGTCAGTATACTGTGTTAAACTGCGGCATGGTATCTCAGTGAGCTGAGCACTATAAATAGGCATTAGTCTGGACTAGTACAAGCAGACACACACACACACATACACAAACACACACACACACACACACACACACACACACACACACACACACACACGTGCATGCACGTAGCTATAAAAGTGCAATAATCTTTGACGTGATGTTGAACCCAATTTCACTTCACCTTACAGATCCACAGGAACCAAATACACGATGATCTAATGCAGAGTTAGATAATACACAGATCCACAAGTACCGGTAAACTCGCATCATGTCCAGTGAATCTAAAATGGAAGTGGGTGACTGTTCAAAAATAAATCTTTTTGTTTCATGAAAGTTTTGAATATAGTTTGAAATGGTGTTTGCATTTTTTCTGCAGCACTGGTATTAGCTACCTGGTAGACATTTTCTGTAAAGTGATTTTAACACTGAGAAGATCATCCCAGAGATTTGCGTTAGTCGTAGCATTGAGAAGATCATCCCACAGACTTACATTAGTCGTAGCACTAAGAAGATCATAACTCCTACAGACTTAGGTTACTTGTAGCACTAAGAACGTCATCACTGCCCCAGACTAACGTTAATCGTAGCACTAAGAAGGTGATTACTCCCACAGACTAACGTTAGTCGTAGCACTAAGATCATTACTCCCAAAGACTTACGTTAGTCGTAGCACTAAGAAGATTATTACTCCCACAGACTTACATTGGTCGTAGCACTAAGAAGATCATTACTCCGAAAGACTTACGTTGGTCGTAGCACTAAGAAGATCACTACTCCCACAGATTTATGCTAGTCGTAGCACTAAGAAGATCATTTAATACTCCCACAGACTTACGTTTGTCGTAACACTAAGAAGATCATTACTTCCACAGACTTACGTTAGTCAAAGCACTAAGCAGATCATAACTCCCACAGACTTACGTTGGTCGTAACACTAAGAAGATCATTACTCCCACAGACTTACGTTAGTCAAAGCACTAAGAAGATCATAACTCCCACAGACTTACGTTGATCGTAGCACTAAGAAGATCACTACTCCCACAGACTTATGCTAGTCGTAGCACTAAGAAGATCATTTAATACTCCCACAGACTTACGTTTGTCGTAACACTAAGAAGATCATTTCTTCCACAGACTTGCGTTAGTCGTAGCACTAAGAAGATCATTACTCACACAGACTTACGTTAGTCGTAGCACTAAGAAGATCATTACTCCCACAGACTTACGTTAGTCGTAGCACTAAGAAGATCATTACTCCCACAGACTTACGTTAGTCGTAGCACTAAGAAGATCATTACTCACACAGACTTGCGTTAGTCGTAGCACTAAGAAGATCATTACTCTCACAGACTTAAGATCATCATCATACCTGTAATACTGTAAATTTTTAAATTAATGCTAGCGTGAATTAAATGCGAAAAATGCAAGTGGTGTTTGCTTGATCAAACATTACATTTATATCTAATCTCTGTTTATTGAGCAGCACTTGTAACAAGTATATAACAATGTCATTCAAACATTAGAAATTACATAATGGACATCCGGTGAATTGTCTCTGCTGTGAATAAGAGTTCTACTTACTCGTGTCAAACAATGCAACCCTAATTACTACAGCAAGTCCAGACAGATGCTGCCCACGCAACACAGTGTCTTCGTTTTTTGCGACTGCATCAAAGGCGGACACGCCCCAGCGAGCATGGATAGGCTTCATCCCACCTTTCTTCTGATCTAGTCTTTGTCCTGTCGCCTGCCTTAATGCCAGTCAACAGAATAAACACACACATTTTCTGAAAACACTATGTATTGTTTTTGCAGAAGTACTCAACTTGGCACTAATAAGCGGTGCCATTTGATTTGGGGAGTGGCATTCATATTGAGTCACATTTTTGGCTAGGGGCCAGCTGTCGCATTAATTAGGAGTTGCATTCGTTTCAAGATCTACAGTAATCTGAGCACCGAGTTCACTTTGTGCAACAAGCACCTGGAAAACGTAGATGTGTCGACCCCTGATATGATGCTAAAACACAAACAACATCTATTGACTAAGGGTGTGAGGTATTACCGGTATATCGGTAAATTGAGGTTAATTCTTTCCACGATACGTATCACAATATCACTCTTTCATGCATGATATATCGAGTGATTTAAAATTTGGATTTTTATCATGTGTATAATGTTATGTACTTGCCAGATGCCTTTGCTGCCCAGGAGCAAGCATCCGGGGCCCCAAGAGTAAACATTGTGTTGTGCCAGCATCTTGTTTTGTTCCATTTATGATCTTCAGTTCACACTTTAATGTATCGATTGATTCTGAATTAAAAATTTAGAATTATCCAGTGTATCGTGATTTGTATCACAATACGGCCTTGTGCATTGCAAAATATTGTGATATACTTTAAACCTCCAATACCCATCCCTACTATAGACATTGCATCTGCCATGCAATTAGACATATGCATAGATGCTTTCATCTGATTGTCATGCAGTGAAGACAGGGGTACGGTTGCAGGGCTGAGAACAGTGCACACTCCACACTAACACCAGCAGATTACCAGGCCCATGTGCACAAAGCAGTCTTATCTACAACAACTGCTAACCTGTTTTAAAATTGTTGTACTTACATTGTTTTGTTCATGTCAGTCCTGTTAAAAAAAGTCATGAAAAGTATTTTTTTAGTTGTGATTTCCAACCAGATTTGATTATCTACGTGACCTTTCCTGTCACCTTCTAGCCAGTCAGTCTTTATTGGGTAGTGAACAGGCCACAGCTAGGCCTACAGTACTTGTGATATACCCTTCTAGCCAGTCAGTCTTTATTGGATACTAAACAGGCCACAGCTAGGCCTACAGTACTTGTGATATACCCTTCTAGTCTGTCAGTCTTTATTGGATACTAAACAGGCCACAGCTAGGCCTACAGTACTTGTGATATACCCTTCTAGCCAGTCAGTCTTTATTGGATACTAAACAGGCCACAGCTAGGCCTACAGTACTTGTGATATATACCCTTCTAGCCAGTCAGTCTTTATTGAGTACGAAACAGGCCACAGCTAGGCCTACAGTACTTGTGATATACCCTTCTAGCCAGTCAGTCTTTATTGGATACTAAACAGGCCACAGGTAGGCCTACAGTACTTGTGATATATACCCTTCTAGCCAGTCAGTCTTTTTTGGATACTAAACAGGCCACAGCTAGGCCTACAGTACTTGTGATATACCCTTCTAGCCAGTCAGTCTTTTTTGGATACTAAACAGGCCACAGCTAGGCCTACAGTACTTGTGATATACCCTTCTAGTCTGTCAGTCTTTTTTGGATACTAAACAGGCCACAGCTAGGCCTACAGTCCACAGCGTGTATTTACACTGTTTCTACTGTTAAATGATGAATTAATTCAGGCTACATTCCACAAAGCAATATTAGCACTAAGACTGCCTAATGTCTGTGTGGAATATTGCGATAAAGATCACTTTGTGCAAAGAGGACCTTGTTTTGTTTCCTCAAGTTGAAATGTTTAACAATGTTTACTGGTAGCTTAATAGAATGTGAAAGTTAGGATGCATCTCTTGATATAAAGTTCAAAAGTGAAGAATGTATTGAACAAATATTTTGATAAATGTATTGCATCAATTAACATTAGTTCTAAATTTAGAATCTGTAACCTGATGAACCTCCAATTTTGCGGATGTGGTTGGGTGACACAGACCTCATCCTACAGAAACATGTACCCAGTAGTAATAATGACATCATGTCTGGTGAAAAGATGCTTTTTTAAACTGTTGTCAGGCCATTTCTAGCACTCCAAGTAAAAGGATGGATTGAAAAAATCTTGTGTCTGCCAGACTAATTTCATTGCCCATTTCATGGCCGAAGCAACCCTGACTAGTGAAAAACAAACAAGATTGAAACTTTGCTAATTGGCATATTTTTTGTTTGTATTAATTTATTTGTTAATTTCAAGAGAAAATTAAGCTGAAATAAATTTGGTTTTTATGCTTTTTTTTAACCTCATGCTTTTTGAACTTATTGACCAAGAAATTCCATAAGACAAGAAAATAATAAATAATAGTGTGATATATTATTATGTATGTATCTTCCTTGAAAGTATGTCAGGATATTGTACAACTCCCATGAATCACTGATATTCAACACCCACTCAAGAAAACAACAAATGGTAAAAGTGAAAATAAATCTGGTCACTTCTACAACATCAATTTGCTGAACTTTTGTGCTTGTAAGATTGATGTAAAATAAGATCAAATACAATATTACAAACAGAAGAAAGTGTTATATGTGCTTCTTTGATTTCATCTTCAGAGGTGTTGGCGTTGTAATGTTGGCGAGAACTTTTTCAAGGTATGTCATTGATTTATCAAAGTTTGCCTGAAGTTTATCAAAATATTTGAACACAGACTTGTCCTCGGTGGTCGTGGTGCATTTCATGCCGTAATTAGACACACAGCGCCGGTAGTGATGGAGATAGGCAACATCGGGGTGGCTCTTCACGGGTGTCCAGCGTTCCTCGTTTTGTTTGCTGATATGGTGGATCCCCACCTCGAACACCCTCCGCGGCATCACCATGACCTTGGTTCGAACATGGCTAAACTGCTGTGATCTGACCGTGTGGCCCATCGTCAGCAGCCCCGACGGATGGTTGATGCCGTGACTCGGGTCAAAGAAGGCACTAGAGAAGGACACCCCGCAATGTTTGTCCCCAATGAGTCCCGGAATAAGTTCATTCCATGTTTTTGCAGCAGTATGTGGAATTATAAACTCGTCCACGTCGTTGATGGCCATGTGCTTCATGGTGCTCATTGAGCGATACATGCAGTCGTTATGGGCCAGCAGCTGACCGTGGTACCAGATGGACTTGTCAACAACCTCTTTGGGTAACTTCCAGGGAATGAGCGTCACAAGTTTACGAGAGTGATAATGTTTTAGAATTTCGGCCATTTCATTTGTGATAGAATAATTATAAAAATAGAAATGTTCTGCACCTAATAACATTGAGAGTTCTAAGAACTCGACTAGAATGTCACTCTTGATTTTACCAAACAAAGGTGGTATACAGATACCGTATTCATATGGTTTAGTAACCATGGCAACAGGGACAATTGGCACCGAGACTAGTCTCTGGCCTGCTATAGTCTTTATCTTCACAGGGCAGAGAGTACCATTTGTGATGGGACACGAGTAGATATACCCACCAAATTGCTTGTTATGATTTTCACACATTTCGTATGGTTTTGTCGACATTTCAGTGCCGTCCCCAAACACACATGTCATGGTGAATTTGTACCGTCTATCTTTGGCAACTAACATGATGAAACGAATAAACTTCTGTTTTTTTCGATCATCCAGATATGCAGAATACACATACACACCCCTCTCGAGTTCCCGGAATCTGCCCACTCCAAAGTCGTCTGATTTCCTCATACAGTTTTTGCCGAGGTCAAGATCCCCATTGTCATCAACTTTCGGGGGTGTTGTGTTGATGATCAGCTCGCCCTTGACCTTGTCCACCATTTTCTCAAGGTTAGATATTTCTTTGGCCAAATTTTTCACATTATAGTAATTCCTAACCCATCCCTTCAGACCCTCGACACTGGCATTGAAGACCACATCGGGAATTTTCTCTCGTATTGCCGAGGTAGTTGTTTTATCTGGTTCAGTGTTGACAACAGCACTGATTGGTCGATCTACCTGAAGTCGGCTATGGAACAACAGCACCATGCAGAGATACACGCCACACAGCAACAGCAAAAAGCGTTTGAAAGTCATTGATCGGAAAAAGTGCTTTTTCATCATGCTTGTGTTTTAATTCAGGGTTTTAAATAAATCAGACCGGTGATTATTAGTTTTGACAAGAAAGTTTCAGTTATTAGTTACAAGGTGTACATGTGAAAACATGCATTATCTCCCCTTGTTTGTGAATAGCAGCCACACTTGCCTGCAGGTATGCAGCTATCACTCATATTGCCTCGTGTACTGCGTCGTGTACTGCCTCGTGTACTGCCTCCTTGTATCACCTCGTATCAGCTCGTATCACCTCCTCGCATCACCTGTATTGCCTCGTGTACTATCTCGTATCGGCTCGTATCACCTCCACGTATCACCACATGTATTGCAGTTTCTGTGTCTGAGCCAGTTGGGGATACTTCCTGTTTTAGATATTATGTCCTATGACACAGCCTCCAGTGAATAGACACGACTAGATCATTCACACACTCAGTCAAATAGTCACAGTTGACAATAATGTTGAAATTCTTAGAAATTGTTCCCAATCTGAGACATTTTGTCCTGTAGTCTTGTAGGGCTCGTTACACCTGGGCCGCGGTCATCTTAACTTGTCATGTTTCTGCCCTGAGTGGTCAAATCTGAAACGGAGAAAGGGAGATATATTGATACAATAAAATAAATATCATAAGCTACTGGTCCACTTTGTCACACACACACACATGTAGGGTCCCTCAGCCATGTAGAAGTCTGTTTTAGAAGGTTATAACACAGTTGGGATATTTCTTCGGTGATAGTACAGCATAGCTGTGTGGGTGCTTATTCTAGTACAGACAAATGCTGATTTTATAGTGCTAGCCAACTGAAAAACGATACACTACTCAGACAGTACACTGACTCTGAGCCGACCAGTCCTTGTTTTATCAATGTACTAATAGCATCTTTTGATGTCTTTGGTATGACGTTGCCAGGGATCGAAGCACTGCCTTCTGCTCTACGGGCAGAGACTCTATCCACCAGGGCGGGGCGGGGCGGGGCGGGGCGGGGCCGGGCCTGGTTCCCCTCATGGGTTCCATGTGAATAGTCTATATTTAGTCTCACTCACTCACTCACTCACTCACTCACTCACTCACTCACTCACTCACTTACATAGATGATTTCTTCGAGATTTGTATTTATGACCAGCTGTAATACCTTAAAATAATCTATTCTGTATTTTGTTGGTATTTGGATGTAAAATCAATGTGAAAATACTCCCACAGTGACAGTTTTATATGTTCCAGGAATAACAGGGCTGACAGAATGGACTCACTATAAGCTATAAAGTCAATTGGAGATATCCCGTGTAAAATATGACATTTTAAGGATAGATGGAGTGAAAATATTTCTTTATGTGACAGAATAACACACAACAGAGCTGCTCTCCTCTGTAAACAGTAAAAGATGGGACATTGTGGACATATGCCTGTTTTTTGCTCACAAGACGTACATGGAAGATTGTAGAAAAGAGATTGGTTACATGTGTGTTTGTATTGCACAGATTAAACAAATCCTTTGAAGCCTATCACTTCCATCTCACGAGAAGTATGTTCTGATAATGAAAACTGTAATTAAGACAAGTATCTATGGCAGCATTCCAAAGATCAAAGATTTCATGGCTTTCATTACTTGTCTGTTTAAAGATTAACAGAAGAGAGGAAAGATACCAATAATTTGTGGAAACCTTGCAACTTGCTCTCCCCTTTGCTGCTGTTGTGACTTCAATACGGGTTTCTGATTACAGTCAGAATGCTTTGGGAAGGATATGAAAAAACCTGATTCCACTATTGCTCAAAAGATACAAGTTGATAGAAGCGCGGGGGCACGGGTGGCCCAGTCGTCTAAGGCACATTTGCTGTGCTGAGTTGAGTCCCTTCTGCACGCCAGAAACCTATGATTGTGGGTTCAAATCCTGGTTCGCCCCGATTATGTTTCTAGGTTTGTCAGCACCATACCAGTGCTCGTGGGTTTCACCGAAGTGGTAAACGTCTGAAAACTGCATCACTTTGGGCTTTTCTCCCACATTAAGCTGACAAGCCGCAATATAACTGGAATACTGTTAGAAGTGGCGTTAAACCCAACTAATTCCACCTGTGCCCCCAATGCAGCATTGAACAACAACAAAAACAACAAACAAACAAAACAATATCAGGTTAAGAGTGCTACGGATGTTTTTGTTGCAGTCAAGTGTAAAGCTGCACATGATAACCACTGAACATTGCTTCTTTCGGATTCTATTTATTTCTACTGAAACTAATCAAGTTCAGGTCATGTATATTGGACTTGGGGAACTCAGAACTCCGGCCGGGTAGGTACTGAGTAGGACCCAGGTACCCGCAGGACTACCCAGACCCGTAGTTACTCAGGTGATATATTGTTTAATGACAAAAGTTATCAAGAACTCTACGTTTAAACTACAAGTCACTAATTTTCGCAGTTCTTCCTGACTACTACGCCCATTCCTTCTGACTTTTATATGTTTGAACAAAAATAAAACTTTAGTCAACTTCAGTGTATACTCCAGATCGTTTTATACGTGTATCTAAATACATTTTGCCAGGGCTACAGTCAAACTTTTCCTAATCAGACAGTTTGTACCTTCCTCTTGAGACCTACAGCGGGTATCCGGGTGTTTGGGTACTTTTTGTTGTTTAACACCGCAATTTTGAACAGTTCAACAACACACACTCTCCTTTTCCTGAACACTTCCTATGTAAACTTCGTGAATACAGAAATAGTACCAACCAAACACACTGTGCTCCCATAAGTATGAATCATATTAGGCTGCGGTTTGTGACAGTGTTTGAACAGATTGTACTCTAGACTTGTAGTGATGTGGGATCAGCAAACAGCCTCCGCTCACAGGGAAACACGCCCTGTTATGATATATGATGATACTTGTTAAGGGGGGGGTTTGACTCGGAGTGACATCATCACTGTTTAGTGATCACAGGGAGACACAAGTCTGTGGCTGATTCAGAGTCCAGGCTGACAGTTCACAGTGTGTCTCGCACAGTCTTCACTCTTTATCGTTACCCGGGAAGATCCAGGGTAGAATAGGTCTTCACTCTTTAGTGTTACCGGGGAAGATCCAGGGTAGAATAGGTCTTCACTCTTTAGTGTTACTGGGGAAGATCCAGGGTAGAATAGGTCTTCAGCAACCCATGCTTGCCGTGAAGATCCAGGGTAGAATAGGTCTTCAGCAACCCATGTTTGCCGTAAAAGCAACTAAGCTTGTCATTAGAGGTGACTAACGGGATCGGGTGTTCAGGCTCGCTGGCTATGTTGATGCATGTCATAGTATCACAATTGCGTGGATGAATGCTCATGATGACAATCACTGGATTGTCTGGTCCAGCCTCGATTATATACAGTCTGCCGTCATACAGCTGGAATATTGCTGAGTGCGGCGTTAAACACCAAACCAAGGAAGAGTCTGTAGTGTACATCAATGCCATCTGTTTCAGGATGTGACAACACCCAGAACACAAGGCGCACATTCCTCTCCGTCTCATTCCAGTTAATAAACCAAGTTTTACAATTAGGAACAAGAGCAGGGAACATGTATAATGACTTTCCTCATCTGTAGGGACTCGGGGCCACAAGATGATGTGAGATTTATGTATTAATAATTCTCCGTTTAAATATGCATTTTTACCATTTTGAACCAAAATAACTGAACATTACAATGCTCAGGGATGCATCTATCACGCTTGTCAAGGCTGCAGTGCTTGCTTCCTCTGCCTAGTGGGTGGGCATAAGGTCCACAGTCATCGTGGTAACTTCCAAAATTGTAATGACACGGAAACATAGATGTTCACATGTTGTACCCATGTGGAGAATAAAACTCACACCTGATGAGGCTGACACCACTCACCTATCAAACTGACCATGGGACAGACAGATGAAGTGAGATATGAACATCTTTGAGGTAATTATGAATGAATTATTAGAGATTCCTCCAGTCCCCCTCACTCACTCACTAAACACCCCGTCACACATCATCTTGTTATTTCCAAGTACCTATAGATGAAGAAAGTCGATATGAGTGTTCGCGTCTTTCTTGACTTGATGGAGCACATCATATTTATATATGCTACTTCAACAGTTATGCCGGGGTGGTGGGGTAGCCTAGTGGTTAAAGTGTTCGCTCATCATGCCAAAGACCCTGGTTCGATTCACCACATGAGTACATGACGTGATTTTGCTGTAATATTGCTAAAAGTTGCGTAAAACCAGTCAGTCAGTTATGTTGAAACATGCCTTCAACAACAAAATACAAATATATTAACAAGAAAATGCCTCCCACTCACAATTCATAAAAAATTGATTAACTTTTCTTTTTGTGGCCTGAAAGAAGCAGTGTGGCACTGCCCTACAGTCCCGTGTTTGGCGTGATGGATGACTTCACCTGCCAGATTGATCTCCTGTTTACTACAAACAAATAAACTCATGAACATGAGGGTGGGGCTGTTTCAATATAAAATTATTATTCTGGTCAATTCTGGAAAGCAATATGTTGTGACTTTGGTGATATTTTATAACTATGCCCAGCCAACTGTTCAGTCAAACACACACCACTGACTACAGAACAGGAATACTTGAAATAATGATGAGCATCAGATGGAGTGAGTGAGGGAGGGGGTTTGTCTCCAGACACCTGTAAACCGAATCAGTAGAGTCCAGAAGACATGTCAGGCTCACAATCCCATGTTTCTTTCACATATTGCAACTGGGGAAAAATGCTTTAGAGAAAATAATTTTGATACACTGACATATATTAATATATCAAAATTTCTGGGGTATCCCGCCCCGCAGAATTACTCATGACGTCAGAGATCGGAGTCCCTTTAAGAGGATTGCAATCCCAGAAATATTTATAGATAGATAGAGGAGATGAAAGTCAATATATATCTATATATTTTGGGGCTTCTAATCCCAGCATTATTATTCTTTTTGTGATGTTTTTAAGCCCTTCTGAACTTCTGTCAGTCTGTTAGATAAATGGACAGATTATTCCATCAGTTTGTGAAATGACAGGCACTTAAATAAATGCCTAAGTGAATCATATTTTACACATTGACTGTTACATATATACACGCCTACAAATGAAAAGGCTTGTGAAGATAATGACAGTGTCATCTGTCTCGTGTCGAAGAACTTCCCAATGAATGCATAAAGAAACTGGAATGATTCTGTTCAATGCCACAAAATGAATGAATAGAAAATGCAAACATCGTAACTACAACTGTTTACTGTAAATGTAAATCAAAATCTTCATAGTTCACAAGCAACAATCAGTGTTCAGAACTGCGTATAGATATTGCCTCAAAGTCTATTTCCTGTTTCATGTCACGCTCAGTTGCCTTAGCTAGGAAAGGACACATGACAGCAGATGCTAGCGGGCAGTGTTAGACAGGCAGCCTAGTGCCCCTTTAACCATGTCAATCAACCAAACAGCACACTCACGTTTGTTTCACAAGTCCCCAGTCCATGATCTGACAATAGACTAATTCTCACCTAGCAATGTTTGTTAGCTGCAGGTTCAATATCATAAACAGCGTGGGAAAGGTTTGTGTTCAATCTGATAATATTCATGCAG